TCATGTGGTTTTTGTCTTTTCTTTGATTTATGTGGTGTATCACGTTTACTGATTTGCGTATATTGAACCATCCCTGCATCCCTGGGATGAATCCCACTTGATCGTGATGGATAATCTTTTGAATGTATTGCTGGATGCGGTTTGCCAATATTTTGTTGAGGATTTTAGCATCTATGTTCATCAGCGAAATTGGCCTGTAGTTTTCTTTCATTGTAGGGTCTTTATCTGGTTTTGGGATCAGGGTGATGCTGGCCTCATAGAAGGAGTCTGGCAGTCTTCCCTTCTCTTGGATTTTTTGGAGTAGTCTGAGAAGGACAGGGGTTAGCTCTTCCTTAAATGTTTTGTAAAATTCTCCTGGGAAACCGTCTGGCCCTGGGCTTTTGTGTGCTCGAGTTTCTTGATTACTGCTTCAATTTCCCCAACTGTTATCGGTCTGTTCAAGCTTCCTGTTTCTTCCTCCTTCAGTGTTGGAAGATTATACTTTTCTAAAAATTTGTCCATTTCATCAAGATTTTCAAATTTCTTGGCACATAATTGTTCATAATAGTTTCTGATGATCATTTGTATTTCTGTGGTATCAGTTGTTATTTCTCCTCTTTCATTTCTGATATTATTAATTTGGGTCCTCTCCCTTTTTTTCTTGATGAGTCTGCTTAAAGGCTTGTCAACTTTATGAATCTTTTCAAAGAACCAGCTTCTGGATTGGTTGATCCTCTGAATTGTTCTTTTTGTCTCTATGTCATTCAGTTCTGCTCTAATCTTGACTATTTCCTTCCTTATACTTGCTCTGGGATTTATTTGTTGTTGTTTCTCCAGTTCTTCAAGTTGTAGTGTTAGGTCTTTTATTTGAAATGTTTCTATCTTTTTAAGGTAAGCCTGTATTGCTATGAACTTCCCTCTCAGGACCGCCTTTGCTGTGTCCCATAGGTTTTGGACAGTTGTCTGTTCATTTGCATTTGTTTCCAGAAATTTTTTGATTTCTTCTCTTATCTCATTATTGACCCATTCATTGTTTAATAGCCAACTGTTGAGTCTCCATGAGTTTCCAAGTTTTTGAAGTTTCTCTTTGAGGTTGATTTCGAGTTTCAAGGCCTTGTGGTCTGAGAAAAAGTTTGGTATTATTTCTATTTTCCTGAATTTACTGAAGCTTGCTTTGTGTCCTATCATGTGGTCTATCTTTGAAAAACTGCCATGAGCATTTGAAAAGAATGTGTGTTTTTCTTCTTTGGGATGTAAGGTTCTATATATGTCAGTTAAGTCTCTTTGATTCAGTTTTTCATTCAGCGCCACGATATGTTTATTAATGTTTTGTTTGGAAGATCTGTCCATTTTTGACAGTGGGGTGTTGAAATCCCCTACTATCAGTGTGTTGCTATCTATATCTTTTTTGAAGTCATCCAACAATTTCCTTATAAACTTGGGGGCTCCTATATTGGGAGCATATAAGTTTACAATGTTGATGTCTTCTTGATAGATTCTTCCTTTAAGTATGATAAAGTGCCCCTCTGGGTCTCTCTTTATGGCCTTTGTTTTGAAATCGACTTTGTCTGATACAAGTATGGCAACGCCAGCCTTTTTCTCATGTCCATTTGCTTGGAATATTATTTTCCATCCCTTTACTTTCAATCTGTGTAGGTCTTTTGCTCTGAGGTGGGTCTCTTGTAGGCAGCATATGTGTGGGTCATGTTTTCTTATCCATTCAGCTACCCTGTGTCTTTTGATTGGGGCATTTAGTCCATTCACATTGAGAGATATTACTGATAGAAACTTACTCATCTTTTCTCTTTGTACTTGTGTTCGTCTCTGTCTCATTCTTTTCCTTCATCTGCTTAAACCAGTCCCCTTAGCATATCTTGGAGTGCTGGTTTGGTAGAGATGTATTCTTTTAGCTTTCTTTTGTCTGGGAAACTCCGTATTTCTCCTTCTATTTTAATGGAGAGCCTAGCTGGGTAGAGCAGCCTTGGCTGTAGGCCCTTGCTTTTCATGGCTTGGAATATTTGTTGCCATTCCCTTCTGGCTTGTAGTGTTTCTGTTGAGAAGTCAGCTCCTAGGCGTATCGGGGCCCCCTTGTATGTTACTTTCTCCTTCTCCCTTGCTGCCTTGAAGATTCTCTCTTTGTCTTTGACATTTGCCATTTTAATGATGATGTGTCTTGGAGTGGACCTCCTTGGGTCCTTCTTGAGTGGGGTCCTCTGTGCCTCCTGGATCCATGAGAGCCTTTCTCTCCTCAAATTAGGGAAATTTTCCATCATTACTTTTTCGAGGAGGTTCTCTATTCCTTGCTCCTCTTCTTCTCCTTCTGGTATCCCTATTATATGGATATTATTGCGTTTCAGGTTGTCCTGCATTTCCCTAAATGCTTCTTCATTCTTTTTGAGCCGTTTTTCCATTTCTTGCTCTTTCTGGGAGCTTTTTTCTACCTTGTCTTCCATCTCACTGATTCGATCCTCAGCTTCATCCAGCCTGCTTTGGATTCCTTCTACTGTGTTCTTCAATTCAGAAATGGTATTCTTCATATCCTCTTGTGTCTTCTTGATATTTTCTATGTCCTTTTCCAGGCTGATATAGTTTGCTGTAAGATCCTGATAGTTTCTCTGCAGTTTCTCACAGTTATCTTTGAGCTGGCTGAGCTCATTGAGCTTCCTTAGAACCATTGTTTTAAATTCCATATCTGATAGTTCCCTTGCCTCTATTTCATTGAGCTCTCTCTGTGGGGAGTCCCCTTTTCCACTCATTTGGGGGGAACTTCTTTTTCTTCCCATTTTTGTGAGAGTCTGTTAAGTATTTTTGTCCTTTACTTTTCTTTCTGGGCTTGCCTCTGATGATGTCAGTTGTTGACCCTATAGGGCCTTGGGTTGTTTGTTTGAGCCTTTCAGGAGTCTACTGCCTGTGTCTGACTCCTGCTTGGAGCAGCTCTGTGACCCCTTCAGTCAGGGCTGGGCTATTTTTTGGGATCTCTCTGCGCTCTCACGAGAGCTCCTTAAGCGCGTTCCCAGCACGGCAGGGTCCCCCACCTGCCTGGGCTCGCATGTGTTTGCCCCAGACCAGGGGGCTTATTCGCGACCTCCCGTGCTCATCTGGCCTCCCTGACACGCGAGCTTCGCGGCACTGGTCAGTTTAGGGTCTTCTATTATGTGTTTTCCCCGCTTTTGGTTCTTTGGGTGCGTTGCTTGCCCTCCCCAAATGGGGACTACGGAAATGGGAGGAAATCAGCTCTAGGACACTCCGGTTAATCCTGTTTCTGGTCTCTCCTCCAGGGACTCTGGGCAGCTCTACTTATTTTGCGGGCTGCTCCGCAATCGCGGCGGGTAGGTCAATTTATGCCTGCCCTTGCCCCTCTGTGCAATCCCTCGCAGGCCGTATGGGTGCCAGTCTGTGTGAGGCCTTGCCGGCAGGTGCACGCGTTCGTCAGCCTGCGTGGGTCACACACACGCTCGCCAACCCTAGCCAGTCACTCGGCGCAAGTGTGCGCGCCTGCTCTGGGTGTTTTGGGGGTGTCTATGTTTGCTTTTCGGCTTTTGGCTCTTTGGGGGTGTGGCCTCTTCCCGCGCAATGGAGACTTCGGCAAGGAGAAGGAGTCGGGACTCCCCGGTTCCTCCCCCCGTTCTTTCCCCAATGCCTCCGTTTCTAGTCTCCCCTCAGGGGCCTCTGGGCAGTTCTGTGACCCCTTCGGCCGAGGATCCAACCCCTGTGCGGACTACGTTTCAATCGCAGGCAGTCTGGTTCATGCGCATCCCGCTTCTGCCTCTTTGGGGTCGTGCCTTTCCAGCCCACAATGGAGACTACGGAAAGGGGAGGGAGTCGGGACTCCCCGGTTCCTCCTCCCCTTCTTTCCCCAATGCCTCCCTCTCCAGTCTCTCCTCAAGGCTCTCCCAGCCAGTCTGCACTCAGCCCCGTAGCTCACAGGCGCACAAGCTGTGTGCGGAGCGCACAAAAGGCAGGTTAATTGATTCCCTTATGCCTGAGCGAGATGGTAGCTGCAGAGTGGGAAGTGCGTTATCACCCGGGCTCCACCGGCCGCCGTGTCAGTCCTCTTCACAAAGTTTTCCTCACCATTCTTTTCCCAGGCACCAGCCCACCCTGCTGCCGCCTGTACCCAGCGATCAAGGAGGGTGGCTGCCGCTGCAACTTTTGCGTTTGCCCTTTAAATGTCTTTTTGCATCCCCAGCCACCTGTCTCTGGCAGAGAGCACCCCTAAGCTTTTTGGGGTTGCGTTTTGTCTGTATTTTCTCGGCTTTAGCTGCTGTAGTTTAGGGGTTCCTGTTTATGATTCAGACCCCGTTCTTCTCGGGGGGACGCTAACTGGCCGTTTCAATGTCCCTCTGGTGCCAGTGCCCGTGCTCACCCAGCCCACCCTCTCGAGCCTCCACCGCAGTTCTCACCCGTTGGGATGTGTGAGCGTCGAATCCGCTGTCCGCAGCACCAAGGCTCCTCTCCCACTATCGCTCCACTGCTTTCCAGGTGATTACTCCATTATTTAGTTGCAATTCCAGTTTGGTTTTGGGAGGAGGTCAGCGTGACTCCCTTTCACTCCTCCGCCATCTTTCTCTCTACTCCTCTTATATCACCATCAGAAGCAGAGATAGGTGGAGCAGTCCCTCAGTTCTACTGAAAAACAGCCCCGATCTGCCTCTTGCAGTCTGTAATTATCTCCAAAAGATTAATTATCTCCTGTATCTTGATACAGGATTTCTGTATCAAGTCCCTGAAGTTAATCTACTACTCTAATGTTTTCTTCATAAAAACTTATACAACTGGAAAAAAAACCCCCAAAACATCTAAATACACTCATGGCTTTGAGGAGTACATAGATTCAGTTCTTAAGTCATGAAATAGACAATATGCAGTCTACATTAAGTTCAGGTCCCTAGTTAAACAATTCTCACTAATAACTTAGTGCTAAAGAACAATTTAATTTTATATAATTGTTCCAAGGAAGCATCAGTATCATTTCTTTTTTGCATTTAAAAACTTAAGTGGGACATATTCCTGTAACTTACCATATATTTGGATTCAATTCAAGTTGGTGGTAGGAATCAAAGTCATCTCGTAGTATGATACTGTCACTATGTATTTCAGCTAAAAGAAAAAAGAATTTAGAAAAAATTATACTAAACAATAGATTTAGCTACAGAAAAAGGTCACTGTGCTACATTTATGAGAAATAATAGTGTTTTAAGTTAAAACTGAATTTTAAATGAGCAGCTGATTATATTTGTTTTATCCTGAAGCTAGTATAGGAAAAAAGTAAAGACTCTGCTCTTACGATGCATCTGGAAACCAGAGCCCCAAAGAGAAAAAGTGTCACCAGGCAGGAAAGGGAGGAGGGCCAAGGTCAGCACTAACCTATAGGGAGAGGTCACACAAGACTTGCCTTTCATAGCTCAACGTGTCCAGAAGAGATTCAGTGTCTAGTTCACTTTAAAGTATAAGAGGGACAGAAAATTCTATTTGTTATCAACTAACATTGCTGGTATTTACTAACCCATTTCCTCTTCTCTTTCCTACTATCCCTCTTGCCCTGCCTTGCTTTCTCTCATTCCCTACATTCACTCATTTTTTTATTTAATGTGTCTCAAATTAATTTCCCTCCCCTACTCAGAGCTGCATAGGAGAAATTATTGACATGATTAAGTAAAACTTCCAAAAAAAGTCATGTTAAAAGTCAGAAGGAATGCCAGGGACCCATCCATAGTTTTCACTGTATTATCACTATACTTTCACTGTATTTCACTGTATTATGTTTGAGATTATATCAAACAAGCATTTTTTAAGCTCTGTAAGAACTCTGGGCCTGCTAAGAGCAAACAATATTTTCACAGCTATAGAGTATGTGATATTTCCACTGAGTAGAGGATGGATGAGTAAAAACAATTTCATGGTCCACTACAATGTAAGTGGGCTGATTTTTAAGGTTGTGTGAGAAACAATAATTATTTCTACTAAAGGTGTAAAAAATGAATTTTGTGCTTATAAACTCCCTTATATACTTCCCATGATGTGCTTGGGAGGTTTGTTTCAGCTAATATAAATTCTCTGAGCTTGTAAGTTTACATATGCTTTTGGAAAAGTTAAAATCATATGATCTAATCAACAAAAAATAACCACCCTAATTTTTTTACAAAGATGATATTTTACCTTTTTTGTAGGGGGTTGGGGGAGCTCACCAAACTCACTGAGTAATTAAATTCAACTCTAAATATTAGGAATCATACTTCTAAATTCTCTTTGGTGGTATCACCACCTATAGCCATCCTCACCCTCTTATATAAGGTATGTCAGCAGGTAAGCATATAACAAAGTCTGGGAAACCAGTGAATCAGCATGTATTGAGAGGAATGGCTTTAGACTCAAAGCCTTAGGATGATAGCAGGGAGAATATGGATTTACACTGGAGAGAACACTGTGATGTATTCTGTGCATGCGAGTGATTTAATGATTCCTCTGAGCAATTAGACACAGTGCCTGAAATGCCTACAGGGTACAGTTCTCTCAAATACCCAAGGTGGCCAAGACTCTCAACTCGGCTGGGCCACTGTGAGTCACCAGCCTGCCTCTGCTGCCAGAAGGCATGCTTCTAAGCTATTATGTTTGCCTGCCAAAGAAGAGAAGCCCAAAGCTGCAGTATTACATAAAAGTAGAGGTTTTCAAGGCAAATTTTCCAAAGAGAAAAATAAATTAATTGGGTTTATGGGTTGAAAGGAAAAGCCCAAGAGACAAATCACTGACCCATCTGCAAGTCCCACAGTGAGAAACATCTGAAAAGGCTGGAGCCAGCTAAGATGACTTCTTTTCATTCTTATTAAATAGTGTAGTGTAGGAAATTGCTTTTAAAACAAGCCTTTGCTGAAACAGAATGAGAAATTTAACTCTTAAAGATCTTTTGTTTCATACAGAATTTTTTACAAAGGTATGAGTAAGCCTCAATGGTTATGTGCTCATGTATTTATTACAACACTGTTACATCATGTATTATACACTTTGCAAATATTAATTCAGTTCATCCTCTTAACAACCCAGGGAGGTAGGTACTATTATTACTCCCATTTTACAAATATGGAAACCAAGGCACAGAGAGGTTAATTTGCTTGATGTCACGTGGCTAGAAAATGGTGAATGTGAGACTAGGCAGTTTGGCTCTGGAATCTGTGCTCCTAACCACTACATAACCCTGCCTCAAAAATGGCTGCCCACAAAGAGCCTGGCACTATGGAAAGACCATGAGAAAAATGAGTGGTGGTAACATTCCATGGTTCCATTAAACAAAGCAGATAGTTATTGAAAGAGTCTCATTTCAGTTTTTGAAGAAATGACCAAATTATTTCTTCTTTTACAATGAAGCACTAATGTGAGCAAAAATCTCAAATCTGGAATAAGATAAATTCCTCCATATTCATAGCTCTTTACCCATTGCTTCTGTGTTCTGTTTACAATGGGTAGGAGAACAAGGGAAAATTTAGCATTAGAATACTCTGTCAAATGGCCACACGCAACAGGATCCTAAGGAAGAATGTGCTAACAGGTTTGAAAGTCCCCTCATTAGCCCTCAGCTGGGTAGCATGACTGTCTCCTGGTGAGTTGCTCTGTTCAAGCATAATGTGGACCTGACTCTAATTACAGTGAATTATCAGCAAATCAGAGAAGGCAGAGAGTTTCCTAACCTCTATATCATCTTCCCACAAAGCCAGAGGAGTGAGACAAATATTTAATAAATCAAGTACTAAGGTTAGTGAAATCGGGTTCTTAAACACTTACCTAGATGTAGGTGCATAGTGGCCTCTGTGGGAGCTGAACCAAAAGGGAAAAAGGGAAAGATAGTTGATAAGCAACAAAAGCAAAATCCAGTAACTACAATGACAAATGCAATTACAAAACTTAGGTCATGTAGAAATAAAACGGTGAGAAGCTTTTTAAAGGAGTAAAAAGAAAATGCCAATAAACATAAAATAAGACATCCAATTCCCTATTTAGTTATATTTAAAAGTAACACATTACTCTTAAAGTGAAGCACAGAAAACAAGACACACTTATTATTCAAGTTTAGTCAGGCATCCCTTGAAATACACAATATAAATGTGATGTGATAGTAGTTTATGAATATGCCAAAAAACTTTCTGAGCACTTATTACATGCCAGGGGCTATTATGGGTATTAGGAAAATAAAGGAAAAAAACACTATCCTTGTCCTCAAATAGTTTCCCATCTGGTGGAGGCAACTACAATATATAGTGTAGTAAGTGCTATGTAGAGTGTTCAGGGGGTGCTAGGGTGAGATGCGGGGTAAGGGAGGGACTCTAATTCTAGACTGACCAGGAGAAGACAGTTGCCAGGCTTCCAGAGAAGAGGATTTCTGTGCTGAGTTTGAAAGACTAGCAGGAGTAAGATGGGCGGGGGGAGGAAGGGGACAGGCGCTTCTTTCTTAAGTAAAAGTGGAAGGGCAAAGAGAAGTAAGAGAAAATGGCTTTTTGGGAGAACCACAAGTTCAGTGGGACTGGATGAACACTTAAGAGGAAAGCATAGAAAAGCGGAAGTTGAGAAGATTGAGAGAAGATCGTAAAGCTGAATGCTAAGGAATTCGGACTTTTCCATGAAAGCATAATGATCTGAACATTTATGAGCAAAGGAGTGAATGTTCAAATACGCATTTCAAGAAAGGACACTCTAACAAGAGTTCGAAAATAAGGGACACTGCCCAATAAATACTTTGGTTATATTTTTTTTCTCAAAAGACTTCCAAATTTATGAAGAAATATTTTCAATTCACGATCTAAAACTTAGAACTCATCGCATAGATATTTTAAAATCTTTTATATCAGTTAAAGAAGAATTTCAGCGAGATATGAAAATATTTGTTTCTATCACAGTGGTCAGTGATTCAGCTATGTTAGATGAGAAATCCAGACTTAATAGCATTTTAAGACTAGAAACTGATATTTGTTTTATTGTTTCACACCAACATATTGCACATTGAAAATACTTGTGCTCGGTTGTTTGAAACAGAGTACATGGAAAGTGTCCTGAATACAGTTTAGTATACATCTAGAATATATGGGCAAATTCTCTGAATCATCACCAGCTTATGGAAGCCTTCAAGAAAACAAAAGAAAAATTTAATAATCTTGCGCTTTGTGTCAATGCTCATTGGTCAAGCTGTAGAATCTTTTGTTGTACAAAGATTCACTGAGCTGTTACCTCTAATTTAAGATTTTCTGGAAATAAAAAGAATAATTGCCAATTATTTAATAATCAATGATAAAAACATAACAATGATATACAATATGTTCCCTCAATATTGGACTGTAAATTAATGAGTTAAATTTGTAGGTTTTTTTCTTTTCTGATCCTTTCTCTTTTTTTAATTATTTTTTAATTTTTTTATTGTTCAAATATATTTATCTCCATTTTCCTACCACCACTTTCCCCTGCCCCACCCACTCCCTTCCCTCTCAATCCTTCCCCACTTTGGCTCTGTCCATGGGTCCTTATAAATTTGTAGTTTTGAATCAAATGAAACAGCTCTCCTAAAAAAATGATGAACAGATTTTTGTCAAGGTGGATGTAGATATTAAAGGAAAATAATTTTTTGATATTCTATTCAGTTACTGGAAGACCTTTAAGTAGGTATAGGACATTTGAATATGTAAATCTAGTTTTCAGCTGTAAATTTTATGAAATCTTAAAACAGACTAAGTATTCCAATACTTAAGATGTGCTGTAAATATAAAATACACACCAAATTTCAGATACTTAGTACAAAAAATGTAAAATACCTCAATAATTTTATATTGATTACATTATATCAAAATGTTTGGTATTTTATATATTCTATGTTAAATAAAATACATTATTAAATTAACCTATTAATTTTTGCTTTTTAAATGTGGCTACTAGAATATTTAAAATTATACCTGTGGCTCTGACTTCTATTGGACAGAGCTGAACAAGGGCTAGGTGGGAGATCTGGACTGGCTATCAATTAGGGAATCATTATCACACAGGAGGTGGTGGAGTCATGGAAGAAGATTGACTCACTGAGAGAGAATGTAGGGTACAAAAGAAGTAAAAGGAAGGTGTAAATGTGCATTTAAGGGACTGACAGAAGAAGAGGAGCTATCAAAGGGGACTGAGAAACAGTGTGTTTCACTATGGAAATAAGGAAAAAAGAGAGTTTTAAGAGAGAAGAGGACTGAAGGAGAAACTAAAATAATCCTAGTGTAGCTGATATCTACTGAGAACATCTGTAATCAAGGCACTGTGTTAAACAGGGCTTGTAAATGAACCCAGGGAATTGGGCCTCAGAGGCCACACTCTTAACTATTGTGCACACTGCTCTTTCAGGAAAGTTCACTGCAAAGATAAGATATGAGATTTTGTATTATCTAATGAAGAAGAAGTATCAAGGGGATTTTTTGTTTGTTTGTTTGCTTTGTTCTTAAGATATTATATAGTTTACCATGTCCAATATTAGGTGCCTTAGAAAAGTAGCTCTTTGTATTCATGACATAAATTTGTTAAGAAGGGGGAAAGTAACAACTTCAAAAAATGGGGAAAGTAACAGTAATATATATTTATATATAATACATATAGAATAATAACTTCAAAAAACTGGGGAATGTTAGTTAAATGTACAATTTATGGCAAATATCAATTAGAAGTACTTACTAGTCAATACAATGGTTAGATAAGTATAACAATATATCTGCAGAGACAGCAATTAAAATACCTATTTATTTAATTTGTTTTTAATACAGCTTACATTCAATATTATTCTGTATTAGTTTCACATGTACAATAAAGTAGTTAGAAAATCATGTACTTTACAGAATGGTTACCTATGTTGATTTTAAATAACTATGATGACTAGGGCATAGACCCAATAAAGAAAATAAGTTATAAGATGTTTTACTCTACTTTAAGGAGTCTGTCCAAATTGATATCTAAACTTTTTCTAAATTATTTTGGCACATAACATCTTTCTCTGAATCACCTATAATGTAACTAGATGAGGGCCATTGAAAAAAGACTCATGCAACTGAAATCTCTGGGAGTGCAGGCTTAGAATTTGTGTTTCTAAAAACCTCCCCAGGTGATTCAGATAGCCAAATTTTAAAACCACTGATTTTAGTCATATAATCCAACCCTTGCAGGGGTGTCCAACCTTTTGGCATCTCTGCCCCACAATAGAAGAAGAGTTGTCTTGGGCCACACATTAAATACATTGTGACATGTAATCACCAAAAAAAAAAAAAAAGAAGAAAAAATCTTGTAATGTTTTAAGTAAATTTACAATTTTGTATTGGGCTGCATTCATAGCCATCCTGGGACTTAGGCAGCCTGCTGGCCACAGGTTGGACACCCCTGTAGCATTCAGAACTGTTCTCTGTATTAAGTATATGTCTTTTCTCTGAAGAAAAAATAAGTTCCTAAAAAGGAGAAAAATATGTGCACACAAAACACCAGCCAAAGCTAGTACTAGATTTTCGGTAAATACTGAAGTGAACTGAAAGCTCATCTTTAGTGGTAATATATTTTATGATATTTTGGAGAACAAATAATTGAAGAGCCAAACCTTTGAAAAATGTCAAAATATACTCACAACTTTGTCAAGAAGTCCTGTAGAATAAATAGTTTGGGTAATTTAAACACCTAGCAAGTGTCTACCTAGATTTAACTTAACACATTTAAATCACATTTTAAATCACTAGTTAGGAAAACTCAATTCAATATTTTTAACAAAAATATCCACTGTCTGAGGTAATTAAACATTATTTCCTCAAAAAAGGGGAATGTATTCTGTGCACACTAAACTTGATAAAAGGAAAAGTACAAATTTCCTTGAAGAATATTAATACGTGTATGGTGTAAATATAGTCCAAAATCCAGGAAAGTACTAGGCCTGGGAAGCTTATTTTAATCATCTCTCACCAAGTGGGTATATCGATCTAGTTTGATGTAGTAAAACAAAATTTTCTAAGCTTATAGAAAGTTCACCATCTTTTTCACATTTATTAGGGTAAATATACCACAGAAAAATTAGAATAAATAGCCTGAAGAAGTATAATATAGTTCAACATCATTTATTACACTCCCACTTGGATCGTACCTGCTTGGCCTCACTACTAACATGGATAAATTACTAAATTCCTGAATTATGTAAATTTGAAAAAAAAGGTCTTTTCCTTTTAAACATAAAATGCACACTTCAGAGAGGTCCTTATTTGTAAACCTTCCAAGTAATACCTACTGGCATCCTCCAAGTATACCTTTCCTGCTCCTTGACCATTAAACTAGTTCTGACTTGTCTTTCTAGAATGCTTTAAGGTTTTTATCTCACTTTTTGTTGGTCTGTGGCTGATTTTCTGCCTCCTTAAGGACTTCCCCCATCCTACCCCACCCACCTAGATCCAACTTCCCAGCTTCTTTGAATCTGAAATTGCTCTAGCAACTCTAAACCAACTCTAGCTACCTTATAAAGTTGTTTAAATGGCTTATACTGGGAAGTTTTGTTTTTAAGAATGTGGAAACAAAAATGTTCCTAAGGAGTTAGGCTTTGGCTTTGAAGAAAACAGGATACACCTTTAACAGAAGTGTAAAGGACATCTGACTTTTTTCCAGGTGTCTATTCATCGTGATAAAAAGACCAGGTCAGATGCTGACCATGGATGTACATGGGAGGATACACTGTGGGTAGGGACCCTGCTTGTTATCAGAAGACTGAATTGGAGAGAGGGAGAAAGACAGCCTGGAGTGGTCTCTACCCCGAGAGACCACTGCAGAAGAAGGTGCAT